TGTGTGTGTGTGTGTGTGTGTGTGTGTGTGTGTGTGCGTGCGTGCGTGCGTGCGTGCGTGGGTGTGTGTGTGTGTGTGTGTGTTTTTTTGGGGGGTAAAGGCCATTTTCATGGTAGTTTCTTGGACTGTTGGTTGTTGTTTATTGGAAACCAAAAGCAAAGCAACCATTTCAGGGGATCCCTTTGAAACACCATGAAACACCCGACTGTCCGACGTGTTTCCTGGGCTCCCCGACATCAGTGTCAGCGCCCCTGTCCCACGACACTAACCTTCAGTTCGTGGTCTGGATTGGTTTGGAATTTTAGAACCCCTGGTTCTTGTAGACTGTCGGGGGCTTCTCCATTTGGTGTTAACAGGAGCAGGGTTCAATCCAAACCACCAATTCAGGGGCGCCCTACGCATTGTCAGCCCCTTTCAACAGGGCTCCTTAAAAGATACAGTTTGCAACCTTTTCAAGCATGTTGCTTTTTCCCGGATCCCTGTTCAAGGATCTCAGCGTCTTGGTGTTGATCGATGGATCTGCGCCGGCGAGCAGCGAGCAGCTACAGCAGCTGCTCCAGTTCAATCCCTGCGCCGTGCGCTCAGGAAATTAGAACTCAAGCGATGCCGCCGATTCGATTCGGGCACGAAACGAGCACGTGGGGGGGGCGAATGATCATAATTTGCCAAGCTCAGTTCAGAGAACGACAGGCATGCGCCAATTGTGCCCTTTGGTCTCCATTTAAGACCAACCAGAACGGAGGACTCCCAAGACATCAGAGGAAGTGCATTCGCGCGGGAAGTTTCTGTTTGGTGGAGTCAGCCTCCCGTGATTCCGCGTGTTTGACCAACACAATGTCAAATCAAAATGTGGGGAAGTGCAGAGGAAGTCATCCCTAGCCATGTCGACATCCATGGTTTTGCGCAGACCCGGGCTCACTATCATTGGCCAGTGCCATCGTGCCCTCGCCAGGAATGTGGATGGGTAGATGGCGGAAATCCCGGTTGTGGGTAAGAGAGGATGATGACGAGTGACCAAAAAGGGCTGGGATTGATTTGCCATCAACTTTCACCCAACTGTAGTTCGGTTAGACGCCCGAGTGACTCCAAGCGGCTCAACTCCAAGGTCCGTGTGGTCACAGCTACGACCTCCCATGGCCAGTTTGGGAGCCGGGCTCTTGGAGTTGCTATGGCAACCTCGATAGCAATTCAAAAGGGGTCGATCCGGTTCCGCTGGGCAATTTCAATGCCAGTCGTGACAGAGAGACCCCCAAACTGCACAAAGCTTGGAACTCGCTTGCAAGCAAAATACACTTGGCGCGGCAAGCCGCGCGAGAAATGCCCAGGCGACGTGAAGCCCACGACCATGTCTTTGGGACCAGTGGAGCCATTGGCACAGGCGGGGGGGAGGGGTTCCTGTCCATTCCTGTGCATCAATTGGCGCGATTTCTTTGCCAGGGTTTGTGTCCACGGCTTTGTCTTCCCACGAAGAGGCTTGCAAAACGCCTGGCCACCTGACGTTCGCCAGGCCCGACTCTTCCTCTTGCGAGCAGCACGTCCGCTCTATGAATACGAAATAGATGCCACCCACCAGCCAGGCCGGAGAAGAAGGCTTGCACCGATATCAATCACTACTGTGGATGGACGAAATCCTGCACCACTTTGAAACCATGGGAAACCATTTTTTGTTGGTATTGACCGGGGAATCATCGTTCCAGGGTATTAGGTGGTGCATAATTGTAAACGCTTCGCGTTGCCCGCCTCGGCCCAGCCTAGTTTGAGGGAAGGGTCAGGAACACCGAAATCCAGTGTTGGGAAGGTCCGAATCCTACTGAAAGCTTGTGACCGCACCAGTTCGCCCGTGCTAGTTCGATGTTCGGAAGCCGTCCTGCTCGGACAGTCTCGGGCAGCTTGGCTGGTCCTTGCTTGCGTGGGTTGTTGGTTGAGCTGGGCCTGAAGCTAGTTTACGGCGGGCTGGGCAGCCGCGCTGGGGGGGCTGGGCTATGGCTGAGCCCAGTTTCAGACACATCAGACAGGCCTGGCCAGCAGGCGGACTGGGCTGGGCTAGACGCTAGTTGAGCCCAGGCTGGCGAGGCCCAGTCTCGGCGCTAGATAGAGATAGGCTGAGGCGCTAGATAGAGATAGGCTGAGGCCTGCGAGTCTGAAACAGGGTGGGCTTGGGTGAGGTTTGCTTAGGCGGGTTGCTGGTTGGGCTGGGCCTGAAGCTAGTCTCAGTTGCTGGCTGCTGGGCAGCCGGACTACGCTGTTGGTTGCGCATGGAACTTCGGCTGGGGGCTGGGCTGAGGTCGCTGGATGGGCAAGGCCTGTCTCACACTTGGGCCTGAGGCTGGGTAGCGAGTTGCTGGCTGGAGCAGGAGGTCCAGGCCTGGCCAGCCTGGGCTGAGCTGCTTGGGCAGCTGGACCGGGGGGCTGGGGCACGTCAGACAGGCTTAGTAGCTGGCGTAGTGGTTGTTGGCCTGAGGCCAGTCTCAGAAACCTGACCTGGCACGCTGGGCTGAGCCTGCTGGTGGGCTGGGAGCTGGGGGCCGGCCTAGTGGCTGGCATACCTGAGATGCGCCGGGGCCTGGGCAGGCTGGGCTGAGGGGTTGCGAAGCTAGTCTCAGCCACGAGGCTGCGAAGCCATGGGTGGGCTGGTGGGCAAGGCCTGTTTCATACACACTTGGGCCTGAGGCTGGGTGGCGAGTTGCTGGCTGGGCTGGGGCTGAGGCAAGTCGCAGACACGTAAGACACGCCAGCAGGCGGGCTGAGGGACTGGGCCTGAGGCTAGTCTCAGGCTGGCATACTTTGAGACCAGTCTCAGACACGTTAGACAAACCTGACCTTGGCACGGTGGGCTGGGCTGACAGGCTGGCCAGCAGGCGGGTTGCTGGTTGGGCTGGACAGGCCAAAGCAATTTTTTGGTTCGCAATTGTCAGCACATTTTCGACAAAAATGGACCCATGGAGCTGGACGCCGACGAACCCCGAAAATTTCAAGGCCCGCCGGACAGGATTTTGGGCCAGCCGACATGGGTTGGGGGGGGGGGGGGGCGGGCCGGCAAAATTTTGGTTGGGGAGGGGTTGGGGGAGGGGAAAAGCGAAGATTCTCTTTGGAGAAGAGATCTGAGCGCCCTTGGCCCCTTTGGGGCCGAGGCGAATTTTGTCTACCCACAGTATCAATCACTGCAAGCGACTTTTTGTACCTGGAGTCTCCATGACCCGAAATAAAACTGGGTCCATGACCCCATGATTTTGGGTAAGGACTCTAAAGACTAACCATTTTTTAAGGGTCATGGAGACTCCAGGTACCAATTCATCATGCGATTTCAGCATACTCGGATGTTCAACTGATTGACTTCAGATGTTTGTTGCAAACAAGCCAGCATGCCCCGATCCTGCACAGTTCCGTCATGAGTGGCTATCCAATGCGTTCTGATCCTGAGAAGGGTCCAAACAAGCACCTAGTGTTTACCCTGGTTAGTAAAGGCACCCCACCTTCAAGCTTGACAAGGTCTGAGAAAGTCAGCATTTGGAGGCTCTCTGGTAGGAAACTCCCAGCTCTTGAAGCGCTTCTGGGGCTAAGGCAAATTAAGGCACCTGGAGGAGGCGAAATAAAAGCCACACGAGGCATCGATGAATCAGTTTTGTTTTGGTTAGGGGGGCAGGCCCTTGAATCGGGGTAGCCTTGGTGACATTGAACACCTTGCTTTGGGGGCTGTGTTTTAGCGAACTTTGGAGGGCAAAGCATAGGCTTGCGAGGCTGGCTTGTAGTATTGCTGGCTGCTTTTTAGGCTAGGAGGTGGCAAGGGGGTACCTTTAATCAGGAAGGGTTTTGGGGAGCAGGTTCTGTTTCGCAAACCTTGTTGGCCCTTTCCTTTGGCATTGGAATCTGGGGGCACAAGGCTGTAGTCGGGGTTTACTAATTCTCTCTTAATTGTGTGTGGCAGGAAGATGCATGGATGTAGATCGGCCCCATGTAGCCAATCTGCTTTGCAATTCAACCATTCGCTGGATGTGAAACTTGATTTGGTGTGCAAACGGCCCCAAAAATGCGTCCTTCGCTGTCCAGAGCTTTGATTTCCCGAGGCCACGCGCCGAGCAGTGAGCCAAAGATCGCTCACGGCTTGCAGTGCATGCAGCTCAAAGACCTCCTGGTGCTTCGGATAAAGTTGCGAAGTGGGGTGAAGAGCGGAAGTCGCGCACTCGAAAAAAGCGGGGAAGCCCCTAGAATCTCGGTGGGTCCCAACCATCTGGTTCAATAGGTTCTGAGCTTTTGAGGCTTTAGGGCTAATTTGGTCCGCGAAACCGCTAAGAGTTAAACTTTTAGCTGGGGATCTGAGGGCAGCCCAGTAAAATGGCTTCGATGTTTGTTGTCCCTGTAGATGAACTTCCCAGAAACGGTGCCAACAAAACTCTATCCCATGTTAGGCTTGGTGAACCTTACCAGTACTGAGTAGTCTATGGTCCATTGTCAATCTCGGAAGCCCCCATAAGGGGATGAGCAATCATTTTCCCATGCCATTTAGACAACTATGGGGAGTCCTTTGGAGGAATGCATGACCATGATCCATCCGTGTGCGCGTGAAGAGTTGGTGCCAGGTTTGAAAGGGAGAGAAGGAAACCACGCGGTCTTTTCGGAATCCGGATCATTGTTTGGACACCAACCATACCCCTCCAAGGGTTCCAGTAAGGGGGCCATGACCATGAACGACATTTAGAACCGATATATATATATATATATATAGTACATATAATATATGCACCCCTCTACTCAAAATACCGACTTTCCTAGGGTTCTGATGGTATTTACCATGGAAAACCAGGTTCTTCTAATATACCCAAAAACAAGTGTATGTGGGATAGCATGGCTGGTCTTGTAGCCTTAGCCTTAGAACTTAGATCGTTTGGAAACAAATGGCAGAAGGTGATCGGAAGCAGCCCACAAGTGGGGTGGCTCGTCCTTTTTTTGAGGGTGCCCTCCCTTGATCGAAAAAAAAGGCCTTTGGCCGAATTTCCACTAGCCAAGATCAAAATCAAAGAGGGCCCCGGGTTTTGCGGGTCCTTGGAGGACCACGGCTCATGTGGTTGGCCTTCTTTTTTAACCACGGAAGCCAAAAGGAAGCCCAGCGCTTTGAGGTGCCCAAGACAACGGCTAGGTCCCCCAGTAGTGCCCTTCTCTCCCTTTTTGTGGGGGAGGGTTCCCCTACTAAAATAGACCACAGAAAAAAGTTGGTACCCTTCTGGGGGTTGATCCCCCATTCTTTTCAACCATCGTTCTTTGCAAAAAACGGATCCGTGTTTTTTTGGTTTCCGGAGGTTTTCGAGAAAGAAGGATCCCTGGAAAGAATGGAAGTGGAAGGTACCCCTAGAGCCCTTATTCTATCCTCTCGACTGGAGGACTACCCAGTCTCATTTGGCCGAGGCGCTGTCGGAGCTGCCCTGGTTCCAGCAGCTGCGCGGCAACCCGGCGCGCATCGCTGAGGCAGCCCAGAGCTTGACGCCCGGATGAGAGACGAAACTAGGTCCCCCAGCAGTGCCCTTTTACCCTTTTTTGGGGGAGGGTTCCGCTACTAAAATAGACTACAGACAAAGGGTACCCTTATTCTATCCTCTCTACTGAAGGACCTAGGAAAGGAAACCGCCGTTCAGGTTGGTTTGACGGGACCCCAAGAGGACAACAACTTGGCGGGTCGCCTATTTGATACATTCATCGACAGCACAGGTGCGGAGCGGAATCCTCAGTTTTGAGCAAACTTGCTGGAGCGATAGGCAGGGAATGAGGGAAGGACCCTTATAAACCATTCAAGTGGTGGTTTCCTTTCAGGGGACCCCTGGGTTCATTCCCACATTTCCTGAGGACCACAAAGTTCTTGTTGTGTGGTGTTTTTTGTTTTTGTCTTTTTTGGTATACCCGTTGGTTATATAGTGGCCATGTAGTGGTTGTATATCCGAGCAACCCACTTCAGCAATTCAGGCAGTCTTGGCTAGTATTGAAGTGAAACCGAAGAACACCCGCCCCTCTGTTTTCGGGGGGCGTTACCCTATTTGAGACAACCCGCGCCGCCAATGTTGTTACCCCACCTACCCACTGCCCCCAAACCACATATGATGTTTGTTTACTATAAATATATACCTGTATATATATATATATAGTGCACAAGCATATATATATATGTATACGGATCTTTATCATTAGTATTGGATGTATGTATTTATGTGGTAAACCCCCCCCCCCCCCCCCCCCCCCCCCCCCCCCCGCCCCGCCCCAGCGCCTACCTTGAAGGATTGGAGCTTTCAACTCTAAGGTGTTAGGTTTGTATTTTTCCCTGTGGAGGTTGTGGAGCTTTCAGCTTTGGAATGTTTTGTGTTATGTCCCTGTGCAGGCTTTGGAGCCGTCATCTTCTTTTTATGTTGTTCTCTTTCTGCTTACTTCTGTGTTACAAATGAAAGGACATGATGCAATCGTATTTCCTAAATGTTTGTAGATGGGTGGCCTAGCTAAGATTGTAAGATGGTGAGCCAAGAGACGATAGAAGCTGAAGAACAAGATTCTGAGATCATGGGAACGACCGATCTTCATCACTTGGTATTTGCAAGCATTTCCTTTCATAGTGCTGCTGCATTGATTCATATAGTGAAGGATGCAGCAATGAAAAAGGATAGGACTGGCAAACAGTATTCCAAAGGCATGATAAATAAAAGAGAACAAGAGTAAAGAGAGATGGGATAAATTATGATGAACTGAAGTAACATGCACTTATACGTAATGATGAAGTCATGAAACCTAGACTTTCTCGTGTCGATCTTTCTTTGTGTTTGGTTTGAATTCATTCCGCCCCGGTTGAAATGTAGCAATGAAAAGGCTTGGAAATCTATGCTTACGATGTGGATTCATCTTTTGTGTTTCCGCGGCGTTAACATCAGTCCTTATATGAAGAGGGTTGTATTCATCAGAAAACAGGATTATATCTCCAAACAAAATTCAGTGCACGCATTACATTGCATGGCTTCTTGTAGTCTTCAGTTATTTTTAGTGATGCCTGGCTTGTTTGGAGGATTTTTCAAGAAGGTACGTATGTTTCAAGGGCCTCCAGAAGTGATTGAGTGTGTTATCATTCTGTTACGCTCATATAGTTGCCAAATACTTGCTTCTTGATTGTTCTCAGCATCTGTAATGGGTCCTGAGCATGATAACCAACATGCGGGCATCTAAAATAAAACAGACAACAAAAGGCAAGCAAAACTGACATGTAGAAAATCCTACTATCATTATCTCTTCTCAGTCTCAGTACCAGCAAGCTACAGTAGTGTCTTTGGTCATTCCTGTGCTCAAGGTCGTCTACACTGCCATGCTTACCCCCGCTCGCTCTTCTTTTCGAACTTGGTGTGTTCAGCTCAGCTCAGTTGCAAGCCCCAAGGAAAGCCCGGGCTGGGGGGGGGGGGTGCATATACAAAATATATACAGTACAAGCACATACACATATGTGTATATGCAGTATATGCAGTATATGCAGTACATGCAGTATATGCAGTATATGCAGTATATTTATACATGTATATATATATATACACCCATAGAGAGGCTATGTGGTACCCCAGTAAACCTGCTGGTTTGGGGTATGTGCGTTGAAGCTTCTGGACTTTTGTTCATAGGCGATCAGAGCGTGGCCAAACAATTCGAAGATGGCGGGAAACCCAAGGCGGATATCATAGGAGCCAAGCAACTGAAGGTGGCTTGGTTTTGGACGGCGATGAAGAAAGAAACCAGATTCACAAGACAGTCGATTTTGAGCAACAAGAATCCCCAGGCCCCGGGTAGCTCGGGCTCGCGCGCGTGCGCGTCGACTTTGCCTTCCTGTTGCCGCTCAGGAAGCCTTGGCAGCCTCCCTTCGACGGCGACGACCAGGCAATTTGGACATTGCAAAGTGGGTGGTTTGATGGACTTGAGGAAGGCAAGCTGTGCGCAGCATGCGAGATATGTAGACTGTATACTTGTGTGTGTGTGGGGGGTTAGTATGTTGAAGGTTGCTTCAAAGTGAGGAGTCAATAGGAAGACCACTAAAGACCACCCAATCAAAACCCGGGTAGATGAAGGTTGGTAGGGACAATCCCAACCATAAATAGCTGCGGCCGCCTTCTTGATTCCTTACATGGTTCTGGCTAGACCATTGTACTGGCTGTTGATTCTGGCTCACCTGGTTGGAGGGTCCAAACCCAAATTTTGGACACCAGCTGTCCAGGCGAAGAAGTTGTTGAAGATCAAAGCCTTCCGGCCAGACGGCAAGAGCAAAGACTTGATGCTGAAGTCTGACATAACGCTCCAGGAGGTCATGGACGCTTGGACCCCGAAGAGAATCCCAACTGAATTGTCCCATAAAAAATGAATCGCTGAAATGTCCCTCCCCGAAGAAAAATGGCGGTGGGGGAGGAAGATGACCCCTGGAATTCCGTGCATCCATTGTCCCGTTATGGGGAAGACTAGATATGTGGAATTGGGAGACCCCCCTCTCCCCCCTTCCGGCAGGGGATAAATAGGAGGACTCCCAAAATGGTGGCTTTCCTTTGGGTCTCCGAAAAAGGATACCCTAACAACCCAAAAGGGTTGCCCTAAAAAGCACAAGCCCAAATCGAGCGAATCTCCAAGTCTCCACGTCAACCATGCTGAAGCCAAGCCGTCCATGAAAGTAGATTCTGATTTCCACCATGCAGAAGGCTGACTGAATTCGTGAGAGAAGCACAGACCACCGGTCCTCAGACGGAACCCTTGTGCGCATAGGTGTCCTTTTTGGTTTAGTTTGTTTAGAAATAGATGGCACTGGTTTAGACCTGTTGCATTCCATTTACTAGAGCCATCTATTTTACCAAGATGACACCTATGCCTGCCTGTGCATGTTAATGTGCCTATGTCGTGTTTCTAATTCCGTCGGGCGATGTCGTTTATCGCTCAGGACTTGGGGTGGCAAAACCCCAGGCACTAGCGCTCCGACTTAGGACAAGTACAAGCCGGCGGGCATCAAGAACCCGGAAGTGCTTGTCGAAGGATGTGTGGTGGCAGCCACAGCCACCCTCAGCTGCTCAGCTTGCGACAAATCTTGTTTCAAGTTTGTTGGTTGGAGTGCCACAGTGAACAAGAGCAGCTATGGGCCAGATTGAAGCTTAGCCATTGAAAGCTATTGTGTATTTCAGGATATGTGTTGCAACTTGTTGGTGTGGAAGGATCACCCAGTTGTCCCGGTCTGCGCGCGTGAGCAGTCCAACCCATGCAGAACCAGTTGAAGAGGCTGACTCCGTTGCTCATGCACCATTCATACGGAGTTCGTTGCCGGCCAAGGAGAGTTTTACGATGATAAGGCTGGGGAGCTTGTCACTTGTGTTGCCGCCGCTTGGAAGTGGTGGTTTACTCTGTATTTGCTTGAAACAGTGAGCAGGCCAAGGGTGTGAATTCTACAGACCCTTAGCATTTAAAATGCGACAGGGTCACAAAATGGGCCATTTGTTGAACAAAAACCGGTCTTTGTTTTGCTCCAACCGCTGCAGGAAGAAACCCCTCGCCGCGCGCGAACTCGCTTTTGACGCAGGCAATTGACGCCGGCTTCATTGCCTTGCACTTCAAGGAGGAAGATGATTGGTAGGCAGAAACGCCATGGAGTTCGTCCAAAAAATCGGGTCAAGAAAATCCGTAGCACTGGAGCTCATTGAGTCATTGAGTCTGCGTGCGTTGAGATCTGTGGTCGGTTTCCTTACTACCTTCAAAACTCCAGTATTGACGAAGAAGCCGGGACGACTCCGACATAGAAGAACTGTAGTTTGGAGAGCGCTTCTGTTCACTCTCTCCCTCTCTCTCTCTCGGTCTGCTTTAATTATTTGTTTCTTTCTTTCTTTCTTTCTTTCTTTCTTTCCGTATTGTTTCTCAGTAAAATTATGTGGACATGTCTTTCTTACTTTCCGTCTTTAGGCTTATTTCCTTGCTTTCTGTGTGTGTGTGCGTGTGTGTTTCGCATTCTTGCTGTTTTTCTCTTGTGTTTCTCTCTCTCTCGCTCCCTCTCTCTCCCTCTCTCCTCAGCACAAGTTAGACATGTTTCTCTACTTGCCTGCCACACGGACAAGGTAGTCTTTAAGAGAGCATACCTTCCACACTGCCTACATCTGCCTACTTGCAGGGTTCGAAACAATGTCTTTAGATTGGGAACATCTGAATTCTTGCCTCGAGAAGCCCCAAAAGAGTACCTTGGCACATCGGCGCAAACTCGCGCTTGCGATAGGGGTTCCATTTGAGGATTTGAGGTTTTTCACTCCGGTCCTGCGATCCGCATTCATGGCTTTTAACCTTTCTGCCCGCGGGCTTGGTCGCCGGAGGTTTGGAATGGTTTGGGCCTCGGAAACGGCTGTTGAATGAACCCCGTCGAAATGGGTTGGTGAATCGGTGAGCAAAATACCCGTGAGCAATTGATGAATGCTTGAATGGTTGATGAACCCATCAAAGATTGGTGAATGGTTGATGAGCCCCTCAAATCCGCAGTTGGTGTCCACTGCAGGGCCTCCAACCAAAATTCACACCCGCTTGTCTTCTGGAGGTGACTGGACGGCCCAGCCAATGCCTGCGCTGGAAACGAGTAGGAACATCTGTTTGGCAATGATTCTCCCGCGTTGGTGGACAAAATGCACAGATGCTGAATCAAAGTGTTGTTGTTTTGGGTGAGAACATTGGAAGCTTTTCGGAAATGCCTGGCTGTACATAGTGTGTCGCAAGCTGGCTTCATGCGAGGCTCGCTCTTCCAGCCCGCAAAAGACTGCCATCGAAGTTGCCCAGGAATTTAGATGAGACCTTCAAACTAAGTATCCTCAAAACAGGGAAGCCACCTGGGGTTAGCCATTACAAATAGTAAGAACAGCAAAAGACCAACAACTCCAATTTTCCAGGGTTGGTCCAATGAAGACAATGGGGACCCATAGCTCCTGGAAGACACATGTTTGAGATGTTTTTTGTCTTAAGCAGTCGATTCCGGCGTGCAACGCACCGTTGAATGGATGCCGGCACCTGCCGGCTTTCGGCTAATGCGCCGAAGTCTTTGGAGGGCGCGAGAGGGAGAACTCCGTGCAAGGCGACGGCAACTTCCGAAATGCGTTGGAAGGGAAAATGCGGAGCTGTGGTTGTGGGAAAGGCGGGGTTTAGGTTGTAGGTTGCCGCTTTGTGAGTGGCCAAGGGAAAGGTGACAAAGAAGGGACAGAAACGGCCAAGGTCGGTCTCGCAGAAAGGTACGACCACAAAATGCAGAGCCGTGCCTGACACAAGCTACACTTTCTGAGGCTGACCGGATGGATGACAGACTTGAATACAACAGGGCTTGAGATATGCTCAATGGCAGCGCGCATAAGTCAGTGGACTGCCCCTTAAAATATCAGTACACTCTGCTTGGAAGACTTTGTCGGTTTGCCCTGTGGCTTGCATGTTGCAAGCTCCCAGGCGATCCATGCCGGATGCTTGCCTCCGGAAGAAAATGCGGCCGAAGAAGCGGCTGCCACGGGGCCTTCCGAAGCTTCCGAGCCTTTGATCTTTGGGGGTTGATCGATATCTCCCAACTTTGGCCCCATAGGCAACTTGTCCCATTTTGCGGTGGAAGCACAAATTGGTCTCAGTGGTGTTCCGAGCAATGTGGACCTGTCTCACGGAGCGTTTGGTCGTTTGGCACCAGTCCGATCCGGAGGCTTGGTGGACCGGCTCGGCAATTTCATTGATAGGCCGGAGAAGGGCGGAGACCCAAATCCAGTTCGCACCACCTAAGAAACCCTGCTTTCTGATTCCCCAACGTGAATACCAACCAATGGCCGCAACTATGGTTTCCAAGTGGTGCGAAATGGACCTCGTCCATCCACGGTGACCCAGTTTGGTCAGTTTGAAAGATGGATGGCCGAAGGTATGGAGAGCCGGTGGTCTGCCGGGCTTGCAGTTCTTCATTTCCTGTGGACGCCAGAGGTTCCAACAGGTGATCGATCTTTCTTCCCGGGCCCGTGGAGTTGGATCTTGACCCGAGTATAGCCAGGCAGCCTCTATACTGAGCGAAGGGACACTCACCGTTCGCTATTTGGAACTTGTCACACGGCGATTCAGTCACAACGAAGACCACAAATTGACATGGGACCCCAAAGATGATGATGATTGGGTGGGTTCCATGCAGTAAAGTCTGGGTCGCCGCATTGTCATCCGTATACAGCAAGTCTCCATGGTATGGATGGGATTGTTTTAGGGGAGCCCCTGATGTTGCGGTGGTTTTCCTTTTCGTTTCCCTTTGAACCCACAAGCACGTGAGTACCCACACCGAATCCAGCGAGCCTTCCATTGGGAGAGTCTCCGCTTTACGCCAGACTGGTGGTGGACTCGGAGATCTCCAAGAAGGAGGCGCCCCGTGTGGGCGGTCCATCCCTTGCTTCTTGGGACAATGGAGACGAACCCAACTTGCTGGTGCGATATGTAGGGAATGAGAAATGGAATGACCAGGCGTGTTTTACCTTACACAAGCTTGCCCGTATGACTTGAGAGTAGCTCCAGAGAAAGTCTGCGCAGGCACTCCGCGTAGGCGCTTGTTGCTGCGAAGGCTCGCGTAGGCACCCTTCAGCGGTTTGGCACACCCGCGGAGGCTCCGCGTAGGCATGGCTGCCACTGTATTAGGCCGATACACCCAAACAACCCTGCTTACTTAGGCGACCATGCCAACACGCGGGACCATGTTTGGTCTTGCCGGCACTTTGCTCATCTCCCTTCCCAACCCAAGCAAGCCCGACTATTTGTTGAGCACACATTGCAAGTCGGCAGCTACGCAGTTGTGGAAGACATGTGACAGCTTTGAAATCCAAACCAGCCTCTGTCACTATACGAACGTTACAGTGACCAAACGAAACGCCCCCAGTGGTTCCCTTGTTCGTGTTAGTTTTAGGCCCCTGCTTCACATGGAGGCCCGCTGGTCTGCGCGCGCGCGCGCGCGAACACGTAGGTACCCTACCAGCAGATCATTGAGGCTTACGCTCGAGCCAAGCATCCTGAAGGCGCTAAGACATGTTTTGTGTTTTTGTTTTGTTTTTTTCTTCCCTTGAGCAACGTGAGTCCCAAGCAAAGCCTGGGTAAGTGAAGGTTAGTAAGGAACAGTCACACTCCCAACCGTCAATCGATGTGACCGTCCTTTGAACAGTTGTTATGTGTTTAGGCCCCATTAAAACCATGTTTCCATTATGAGTTAGATGTCTTGAGGCTGTGTTTGTACGATTGCAGGCTGTGATTTGGCTATCCGCGAAACAAAGTTTTGACTATGAGCTGCAACTCACGGCTTACGTTTCTCAGGCGCTGCCAGATGGCTGCAGAAGACGGTTCTTGGGCCCAGATCCAGGGACTTGCAAGGGGAACCAAAGAACGGTCATGCGGGTATCATCCAAGAGCGCATTTAATTTCTTTGGTGCATTTTGCTTGGATCGGACTTTAAACTTTTTGCCAGCTATATTTTCTGTATTAAAACCACTAAAAGTTGGTCCCTTTTAGCAGGGGAGCAAATTTCGAAACCGAGATTTGTTCCAACCCTTTGCTTCTTGCCAATGCTTCTGCTTCCAAAAACCGGCCATTTCCCCAGGTCGATGCCCGGAAGCCTTCACTCCAGGGCTACAATGCAGTCATCAGGAGACGGGGATGGTGCAAGCAGCGTCGAAGCGCGTGCATCCGTGCGTTGAAATCTTGGGATGAGACATTCAGTCCCCCGGTAGTGCCCGTTTACCCCTCTTTTTTTTGGGGGGGAGGGTTCACCTACTAAAATAGACTACACAACAAATGGCACCCTTATGACCTCTCTACTGGAGGACCTAGGAGAGATTCAGTCGTGTTTGCCGGTAAGGTGGTTGTCGGATTGCTTTGACATGCCTCGCCTCTCCCTTTCAATATTCCTCAGCTGCTCAAAGCCAACCTTCTGTCCAATTGAGTCCAGGTTTCTTGAAAGGGTAACCTTTTTATTTCCAGGTCTTTGCAAGTGAGAACCTCAGTTTGAGAAACAGCCATGGGAGCATGTGCGGAATTGGCGCAGGAGCTTTGCAGAGGCCTGGTGGCTTCTTTGCTCCGAGATCGACCAGAAGCCATTTTTGTGCACCGCACCTAAACTCCAAAGTCATGAAAGCTCCCAGGAAGACATGAGCAACTGCCGGGACCCCCCAATGGCTGGCAAATGGTCTGTGGAATGACCTCATGGCTGTTTTGGGGTTATTTGCCAGCCATTGGGGGTGCTGGTGCTGTTCTTTTCGTTGGCCTGTTTGTTGCTCTCCAGCCCCTCGGAAGCGTGGCTCGCCAGACCCCCCGAAGCTTTCGCATCGCTCGCAGGCTGAGGAGGCTGAGACGGCAAGGAGCTGGCTGCAGAGGCCTCGAGGGGATCCCCGGGTGAAGCTGGGGGGAGCTTCGTTGGATGCATGATATGGGTGTGGCTCAAAACTAAACCAGGAATTGGACCGCAGGTTAAATCGTCCATGTTTCCATTTACCAGGGTTCATTTTGGGTACCTATTTTTGACCCACACCTAATATGGGTGGAGCTTGGTACATAAGTTTTGATTCTGAGGTACTACCTGTGTTTGACAGCCTTTGGAGGCATCCATTCGATATGAAATTTGAGTCTTATTATAGCATGGCAGGGGGGTGTTCTCATGTTGCTCCTCCCCGTAGACCAAGATGAAAAGGGTACGCTTCAAATTACGCACACACACACACACAGACACATGCGGACAGATGGAAAGATGCACGGACTGGCTTAGTGCGCAGGTCTTTTCACCCCAGGATTTGCGCTATTGCGCTACTCCGGGTCTTAAGCCACTGACGAGGGCCAACCGAAACTTCGCGCAGGATGCGCCTGGAGGGACTCCGCCCAGACTTGAGCTCCTACAAACCTGCCCTGGGCTCATGGAATTCTGCCGCTGGGAAGTTGACAATCGCACATTCGGCTGGAAAATCTGAGTCAAAATCAACACCTGGCGTGAAAGAAGATGAAGGCTGCGTTCCTCAAGGCCCTTTTCAGCCGCAACAGTCGGACCCGGAAAGTGGGCAAACGGCCCGATCAGCCGCAGTTGAACAGGGCTTCTGATATGTCCCTCTTTGCAAATAGAAAACCTCAAGGAGTTCCTTTTGCTGAGATGGTTTTTACCAGGGAAATAGAGGGCCGTTGTGAAAAGGCTTGATCTAGATGGAAAACGGCGTCGAACCGCCACGGCCAGAATGGGAGATGCCCATATCGATCCAAATGGGTTGATGAATGCTCAGGTCTTGCAGGCATTTGCCTCCAAAGGGGACACCAAAGTTGCGGAGGAGTTGTGGCAGGACCGATCCGATCGATTTGATCCACGCGGGTGTGGGGTGTCAAGAGCGAGGCCCGGTGGGGATTCAGTGAAGGGAGAATGGAGGGGGCTGACTCAGCTGTTGTTAAGTGCGGCAGGTGCAAGTGATGCGGCCTGGATTGCCACGAGGTATTGTTGCTTTGAGCGGGGGGACAGACAATGAGCCCCAATGACAGGGAATTTGATACCTCCCACTTAAAATAGCGCGGCACAGTTGTCGATTTGCCAGAATGTGTTGAGAGCGAAAGCGGCCTGGTGTCGTGAAGGTCAAATACGGCTAGTTGGGTTGATAGATTAGGATCTGATTGAAGCGCGCTGGATCAGGGGAAAAGCAGAGCTTGCGAAGTTGAGCCAAGTATGCGAAGCCGATGCTTGCAAAACAATGCCGAGGTCGCATGTGCAAGCACTGCATGCTGGAAGCTTTTGAAATTGACGACACTCCGACAGCAACAGATGAAATCTATATGCCGAGTTCTGGCCATTGAGCCGGAGGTTGTAACAATCGAGGAGCTGAGCGACTCGGGCGACGCGGACGACGATGCCTACTGCATGATGCTCCAGGCCTACTGCGCAGCTGACGATGCAGAAGGAGTGAAGGCTGGGGCCCAGCAGGGCTCAAAACCGAAGCCCAGAAGGGCGGAGGAAAACCGAATTGCCATTTGTTTTTGGAGTCCGAAGTTCAGCGCAAACCAATGTAGTCAACTTAGCTTCCTTGCACATTTAGGGATCAGCAGCGGCCCATGCCGAAGCGACTCAGAGACTTGCAGCGCATGGGGTTCTGGTTGGCAGGCAGGCAGGAGGCAAGCAATAAGGGCGAGCTGGTGCGCAATTTGCAGAGCCAACCTGTTGTCAAGCAACTTGAAGAGCGAGTTGGTGGAGGGAGGGATAGAGAGAAAGAGAGCGCCAGGTGTGGGTTGATCGCTTTGAGTGGGAGGGCATCCAGCTGAACTGGCCATCCTTCACAGACTTGCTGAGGCCAGGAAGACCTGAAACAAGTCAAGTCGGGCACTTTGGACATGCGATGTCCTGCGTTTTCCTTTTCAGAAAACCAAGCATTGGTTGCATGACGACTTTAGCGACCCTCGCTATCAACACAGGCCGAGCGGAGTGAGGCGTTGCGATTGGTTTTGGTTCAAGCAGCTTGCCCCAACAGGACTCGACATGCCGGCAGATCAGGCGTCTATGTGGACTTAAGACGAAAAGTAAGGACGCAGAAGGAGCATCTGGAATTCAACTAGGCAAACCGCCAGACCAATTTGAACATGGAAGCCTCATTGCCGCGACCTTCATCCAATGCCTATCCCAAACATGGTGGTGGCTTTCCTCTCAAAGGCGAAAAGTTTCAACTCAGCCACGAAGATTGGGACACGTGGCTGCAGGTTTTACCTGAGCCAGGGCGACCTTCAAAAAGCGTCCGGGGGCTCGATTGGTGCACATGCACCCGTTGAAATTCCATCCCTGTTTTGTAGGGGTTGATTCCCATTCTTTTTCAGCCATCATTCTTTCCAAAAACCAACCGTTTTTATGAGGATCCCTGGCGAGATGTTTGCCGTTTTTGTGGGTCGGTCTCCTCACGGCTTCAAAAAAGGTCACAGTTTGAACCATGTGAACCATGTTGGATCAAAACCGTGATAACCATGTTGGACCTTAAAAAAGCGCTCCTGAACCCCCAGTGAGTGTGGAGCAGCCAGCTATCATTGGCTGCGGGAGGCAGTGCTGCTTTTTGGCTGGGATACGGTCCGCTTCCAAATGCCGAAACATCTTTCAAAAACAGGAACTTGCCCCCTGCCCACGCATACCGAATTGCCATTGATAGTATTCAAGACGGGGATGCGACGCAATTGGAAATGGGTCCGGCCTCTGTGTCGAACTGCTACTCGTAGTTCGCTTAGCGCGGCGGGAACGCGGCGATTTGTGCGATTGCGATTTGCGATTTCTGCGAGCCCAAGGTGAATCGCAGCGATTTGGGGAATAGTAGTTAGTTTCAGGGGATATGTGCTAAGCTTGGTTGGATATGGTTGGGTGTCCGAAGCAGAAAACAATTTTCATCAGGGTAAGGCAAAATGGGTTTGGGAGCGATGTTTGCTTTTGTGGTTGTGGTTTGGCTGGGTAGACAGAGAGGCGGCAGGTGCGGCAAGGCTCTAGAAACGATTTTCGTCTGGGGAAAATGGGTTTGGGAGTGTTCCGATGTCTGAAATAGTTGTAGGTCGAAGCAGCGATTCAAAGGGCGACTGGGAATCGAGGAAGATCCTTCAGACGCAAAAGCTTGTGGCTTCAGATATCACTTTTGCCCCTTTCCCGTGCAGAAAAAGCAAGGCAATGTCAAAACCAATGCTTTCTTCGTTTCGCAATGAGAGCCCCTAAGCAGCGATTCAAAGCTAGCGATTTCAAATCGCTGCGTTTGCGATTCCCTGCTTTTAACCCACAGCGATTTGAAAACGCAGTGATTTGCGATTGCGAGTTTGCCTCGCTAAGGTAGTTCGTAGTGCAATAAGCATCACTCCGCTATGAGATTTAGCAGGGAACCATCTCACGAGTGGGCGAACATGAATGTTCAGAGCTCCGCGCACACCCATATGGCGGTTGATCAAAAAGGTCCTTTACAGGGGAACACCACTGAAATTGTAATATGGTCCACTGAATGGGAAAGTTACCCACGGGCATTTGGGGCCCGGAATATTGATCAACCCCGATATAGATGTATACTGGGATTTTATCATGTGCCACTTGCGAGCGCGACTCAGCGAGTCGATCACTTCATGCAGCTCTGTGGCCTAGGTTCGCCCTGTCAAACGAAGTTGCCCTGAGCTCATCCTTCGACACAGGACCCAGTCCTGTCCTTAGATCGAGTTGTGGGAGAACGGAGTGCTATCAAAGAACGAAGGTTGGACAAATTGTGGTATGTGCATGTATGTGCGCGAGGAAATGGAGACGGTTTTGCTGAGAGACTCTGATTCCGGATGTGTGTGTGTGTGTGTGCAGGCGACAGGATGCATTTGCTTGCACAGAACTCAGTAAGGCTTGCTCCGTAGAAGAAAACAAATGAGTCAATGCGAGGTACACTTCGTGCTGAAGGCGGCAAACAACAAATATGGCCTATGCGAACTGTTGCGTTGGGGGCATCTGATTACCTATCTGCCGCAGATTCTTGGTTGGCTTCATAGGTGGTTTGTCAGAAGACGTTGGTGCGGGTCAAATTGCGTGTTGAGATAGACAAGGTGCCGGGGGTTCTCAATTGGATTTGTTTTTGCATGTGCTTGGTGCATGTGCGATGCGTGATTCTAAAAGTGAAACCATGCTGATGACAGTGACGGCGATGGAGCTAGCGATGGCGCCGCGGTGCTGCATGATGGGTCTGAGTTTAGGGTCACCTCATTCATTGACGATACCGACTAAAACAGGGATGGAAACAATGGACTCAGACACAATGTAGGCATGTGCCTTTGAGATCATTTGCTTGTGTGTCCTGTATCCTCAGAAAGCAGCACCGGTAGAACGCATCGGAACGTGAAACTGAGTGCAGGGTATGCAACACAAGCTGCAAATACTTGGAGGCATCACAAGCCAGAGTGTCAAGATTGGCAGAATATACTTGTCGGCTCAACCATCAAAGGTTTTGCAACAGAATACAGCTTGCTTCCAATATACCTACCCAGCACTGCCCAATTACAAAACACATGCAGGAAGTCTTACCTTCCACATAAATCACTTGCAGCGCACATGCCTGGATTTCACCTAGGTGCGTGGTTGAAGCAGCTTGAGGCAAGGGAGGTTCTGCTGCAGATGTCAAAGCAACATGCTTACCACGTGTCTTCCTTTGAAACCGACCTGGGCATGTATCTTAATAGGGGACATCGTTTAGGTGGGGACGTATGTCCACCCACCATTCGAGGTTCCCCAGTAAAGTTCGCCCTGAAAAGGGTACCCTCCAAATTCAACGCATGTCGAAGCGTCATTGCCGTTGCGCGTCGAATCGCTTTGCTCGCAGTTTTAGAGTCGTTCCTTTGGCCAAAGTGAAATTTCGCTACATAAACTTCTCGATGGTGTCGGTTCTTCTTGGTGAGTGTTAGGCCACATGATTTTACCATGATCAAAGTCACCCCCTAAGTGGTGGGGTAAAGGAGAAAACAACGCATTTACTGACCTTGATAACCACAAGAAACAGTTAACAAATAATGGCCCGAGAATGTTGACCCCCAGATGTACAAATAATAATGTTGGGGAAGATCCCAAGCACCAGTACAGGATCCCCTCGAAAATACAACCCCGAAAAGCCATGAAGCTTGGGTTCCCATTCGGTTGCAGGAATTTGGATATGAGTCAAAATTAAACCATCAGGAATTGGACCACAGGTGAAATCGTACATGTTGCCATTTACCAGGGCAACCCATTTTGGGGTTACCATATTTATGGCCCACAGAGGCGAACACCCCGAAAACCGTGAAGCCTGGGTTCCCGTTGCAAGGATTTGAGTCTAAGACCTGCCAATTTTTCAGGCCGCCGTGAAGCTGAAAGATGCGAGCCACGCGGAGAAGGTGCGACTTGCTGCGAGCGAGCGACGCTTGCGACTTTCTGCTGATAGCAAGCAAATCAAGTCACAAGGGCACCGATTTTTCCCCAATAAAAGGGTTCCCTATCTTTCCCCATTTGGCTTCAAGATGTTTTTTCCCGAAACAGAGTTCCCTATCTTTCCCCGTTTGGTTTTACACATTATTTTGTCCCGAAACAGGGTTCACTATCTTTCCCCATTTGGCTTTAAACATGAGTTTTTCTCACTGCATTGGGTATGGGTCAAAATGAAACCACCAGGAATTGGACCGCAGGTTAAATCGTCCATGTTTCCACCTAGGGTTTCATTTGGGGTATTAGTTTTGACCCACACCCAATTCCCCCCGAAACAGGGTTCTCTATCTTTCCCCATTTGGTTGTAAACATGACTTTGTCCCTCATTCTCTCCCTGTGAGGTTCCTTGGGTGATGTTAGGACAGTTTTGGGAGCCCCGTGAACGGTTGCCATTTGCTGATGGGTACCAGTGAGAAGCAACACCTTTAGAGAGCCTTCATCACTCTCGTGAGATCGGAGCGCAAAGCCCGGGCCCTTTGAGTGACCACGTTTGCATTCATCCAATATGTTGCAGAACAGTTTGCACATTGTATGCCGAGCCGTCAAAAGTGGGTGTATCGGACTTTGGTCGTCCTGGATGGGTGTGTCTTTTTTGAGAGCAATTACTTTGTTCTGGTTGTTTATCAAGGAAACCAAAAAGGATGACCACCTTTTGGAGGGGGGTCCCCTGCAAAAGACGCACATATAGGAGTCGTCCTAGATGTCAAATCGAGTTGGGATTGTTTGGTCGTTCCCTTTGCGGCAGGTACCATACTTCAATTCGCAAGTTCACGGCACCAGGAAATCTGTGTGCCTTGCTTTAGATTTTGATTACCTCAATTTGCTTGCGACAGATGTAGCTCTTGTAGTATGGGTTGCCGTCAAGTGCCATCTCAAACAAGATGAGGGTATAAAGCAACCTGGACTTCGAATCTGGGTGTTTCCCCTTCACGGGATACAGAGTTGAAAACACAGCCAATACTGCTGTTATATATGAGCCACGGACAAAACACACGAAGACCACTTTATCAAGGCGGGGAACGTTTTTGCATAACACATGCCAAAACCATGGAAAACGATAAGGTCTCCCCCAAAAACGATAACCCTTAGCTAACACACGGCTCTATAATAACCCCTGCAGTTGCAACTTAGCTAGGGTGGGACCCTTGCGTGGCCACCGTAAAATGAGAAGGCGAGTCGCCACTGTCGAGCTGGAGCTGCCAAGGTGTGCTTCGTAAATACGACACTTGTACTGAGAAGTTGCGATTTTCGAGCTGGAGCTGCGGAAGTGTACTTCGCGTACTAGACTTGCGCTACAAAGTTGCGATTTTCGAGCTGGAGATGCGGAAGTGTACTTCTCGTACTAGACTTGTACTACAAAGTTGCGATTTTCGAGCTGGAGATGCGGAAGTGTACTTCGCTTACTAGACTTGTGCGGAAGTGTACTTCGCGTACTAGACTTGTACTACAAAGTTGCGATTTTCGAGCTGGAGATGCGGAAGTGTACTTCGCGACTGGTACTAGCGATTTTGGAGCTGCACTGTACACTAGAGTACTTCGCGAGCTGGAGCTGCGACTTTGTACTACAAAGTTGCGATTTTCGAGCTGGAGCTGCGGAAGTGTACTTCGCGTACTAGACTTGTGCTACAAAGTTGCGATTTTCGAGCTGGAGATGCGGAAGTGTACTTCGCGTACTAGACTTGTACTACAAAGTTGCGATTTTCGAGCTGGAGCTGCGGAAGTGTACTTCGCGTACTAGACTTGTACTACAAAGTTGCGATTTTCGAGCTGGAGATGCGGAAGTGTACTTCGCGTACTAGACTTGTACTACAAAGTTGCGATTTTCGAGCTGGAGGTGCGGAAGTGTACTTCGCGTACTAGACTTGTACTACTTGCGACAAAGTTGCGATTTTCGAGCTGGAGCGTGACTTGGAAGTGTACTTCGCGCACTAGACTTGTACTACAAAGTTGCGATTTTCGAACTGGAGCTGCGGAAGTGTACTTCGCGTGTACTTCGCGTACTAGACTTGTACTACAAAGTTGCGATTTTCGAGCTGGAGATGCGGAAGTAAGTGTACTTCGCGTACTAGACTTGCCCAGGGCTTCCCAGTTACTTGTATAGTGGGTAACTGGGCTCCAGCGACAGATTTGGCGGAACTAGGGCCGGTTACCTGTTTTTTAGGTAACCAGCGTAGGGGGCAAATTGGTTCCTTTTTGAGAGTTGATATACTGACGCCTGAGCTTGCGCGCGGGTCGGCGTAGTGTTGGTGAGGGTTGATTTACGGTAGGTGCTGGGCTAATTTAGGGCTGATTTAAGGGCCGCCGAAGCCCTTTTTGGTTTTGGACGACATTGAGTTCAAGATTGGCTTAGGATGAGTTCAATTTGAGCTTGGGCTCGCGTGGGACAGGTTGAGATCTGAGATTGTTTTAATCCGGGTTTTGCTTGAGTGCGTCGGGGTTCCTGCTTTTTTCCTTTCCCGCTTCGCCTTTTCCCTGTGTTCCAGGGGCGTTTTGCCAGTGGCAAACTTCATACCATTTGAGTGCTAGAAATTCGCGTTGTCGGGCAACCAGAAACCGTCTGCTTGCAGCCACTATGCCTCAGAGAAGGCAACAGCAGTCAGCGGTCGCTGTCCAGTCTTTGTTCCGATTGCGCACTATTGCTAAAATCACATTAGCGGGGTCCATTGCATTCGAAAATCCAAATGGCGCATAGCATAAACTTAGCCCTCTTATGATGATTCAAAACTAAGACACAGAGCATTCTTCCGTGGAGTTTGGAAAGACGGCGCCGCAACTAGAGTGAGTTGTGTCAGCGCATATCCCAGGGCAGTAATTAAATATCACAGTCCCAAAACCTACAACTTCTACAGCCGCCATAGCTGTTTAATGCCGCTTCTCACAACAACTTTCAGTCATGTGCATAACAAGTTTATATTTGGAGGCAGCCAGCGTAAATGTATGTAGACATGTTACTCACCGAAGTGACTGGGCAAAACAAATAACCACACCTGCCTACAGTACCCACCGCAGTCAAACAACACAACAAATCAGATGCGCACACACACACACACGCCAAAAGAACCTCGACCATACTTGCACATTGCGTAGCAAATGAGAAGCAAACCAAGCGGCTAAACACCCATCATAACCACACTCATGCCTCACACACCAACAAAACACGCACACCCTTCATCACCCGCCAGAATCACACACCACGCGCCAAAGGATACTCAAACGTTCCAATTGGCCACAATCAAGCACCACACAATAGATGATGAACATACCTGTCAACGAGCAGCCACTTACAGCACAACAAGTCAGAAACACACGCGATCAAACGCGCCAACTGAGTACCTGCCACAATCACATTCCACACAACAAAACATAATCACACCCGCCAACTGAACACCGACCACATTCACACATCACACAAATAAACCATGAGCACTACAGCCAGCGACCGCGCAACAAACACAAACCCATTCGCCAGGTGAACGCTCGCCAAACTAGCGAGCCAGACAGCAAACTCAAAATGCACGGCCACCAGCTCAAGACCCGCCATACTCGCGTACCTAGAGCAAATTAGAAGCCACACTCAAACACCACAGCAACAGCATACACATTTAAAGTCGCCCTCTGACTAAACCCATAACTTCACACATGTGATGAACACACCCGCTAACAACGCAGCCGTCGCAGTGAGCACCACGCGACAAAGTAGAACAACTCGCGCCTGAGCACCCTGCACACTTACATAGCACACAACAAACGATAAGCGTGCCAGCCACCTCAGGCGCCGCGCAACGGATGAACTGAGCACGCGCCAACACGCATCCGTCGCAGTCATACACCGCGAAACCAAATGATAACCACACCCGCCAACAAAGCTCTCGCCTCAGTCACACACCGCAGTAACACATAACAAACAAACACGCCAGCCGAAAGCCAGCCATACACACGCCGCGCAACAAATGACAAGGTTAAACGCCTGCCACGTTTGCACACCACGTCACAAACGACACGCTCACGCCCCAACTGAGCGGGTCACTCACCAGGCAAGCAAGGGCACTGGCATCACCCAACTGAGCGCCAGCTACAGCCAAAAACCACATAATGAATCAACAAACACACTTGCCAACTAGGCACCGGCAATGCTCATGAAACCACACAGCAAATTACAAGCACGCGGGCCAACTGAGCAGCCGCCACACCAATACACCGCACAACAAATTGCAACGCACGCCAGCGACAAACGTAATGGCAAGTGCTGGGGCAGGAAAGCCTGCCAGCACAAGAAGGACGAATCCGGAACTGTTAGAATAAGGAGCCTGGAACCGTTAAAAAGCGGGGTGGAACCGTTAGGTAGGGGCCCGGAACCGATAGAAAAAGGCCGGAACCGTTAGAGACCTTTCGGAGCAGCGAGCTGGCTACACCCAACAAAAATGCGGTCTACCAGCCAGAAATCATACACATGTTGATGTTTCCAGGTAAATTCCAAGGCACAATTGCAACAACCTAAGGTTACTCAGCTGAGTCCGTAATTTGGGCTACAACAACCATTGTGCCCACAATCCTGCGCAGGGTTGAGGTTTGATGTTCGAGGGGAAGTTCTGGCTCGTGTTTTGAGACGATCGGTTTTCAATTTCATTCGGGTTCGGCGTGCTTCAGGCACATGTTGTGTGGTGGGTTAGCTTGCCGGGGGGTCAGTTAGCGGGCGCAGCGCTTATTTGCTGCTAGATTCACACTGGATTCACCCCAAATTTCCATTGTACTGGAAAAATGATGGAACACATTGTTTTCCGCATGAAAGTCATGGAGCACGCGGTTTTTCACCAAATTTGGGTCCGATTTTCCCTCTAACGGTTCCGGTCCCTACCTAACGGTTCCACGCCCTTTTTTAACGGTTCCACCCCCCTTTTTAACGGTTCCGGGCCCTTTTTAACGGTTCCGGTTTCGCCCTTCCTGTGCTGGCAGGTTTTCCTGCCCCAGCACTTGCCATAGCGTTTGTCGCTGGCGTGCGTTGCTCATGTGTTGTGCGGTGTATTGGTGTGGCGGCTGCTCAGTTGGCCCGAGTGCTTGTAATTTGCTGTGTGGTTTCATGAGCATTGCCGGTGCCTAGTTGGCAAGTGTGTTTGTTGATTCATTATGTGGTTTTTGGCTGTAGCTGGCGCTCAGTTGGGTGGTGCCAGTGCCCTTGCTTGCCTGGTGAGTGACTCAGTTGGGGCGTAGGCGTGTCGTTTGTAACACCGTGTGAGTATGGCTGGCGCCTGTTTGTTTGCTATGTGTTAATGCGGTGTGTGACTGAGGCGAGTGCTCTGTTGGCAGGTGCGCTTACCATTTTTTGCACGGTGTACGACTGTGGCGGATGCGCGTCGGCGCGTGTTCAGTTCATCCTTTGCGCGGTGCCTTGGGTGGCTGGCCCGCTCATTATTTTGTTGTGTGCCATGTAGGTGTGCAGGGTGCTCACTTGGCGTGTGTTCCTACTTTGTCACGCAGTGTGTGACTGCGGCGGGCGCTTTGTGAGCGGGTGTGTTCATCACTTGTGTGAAATAATGGGTTCATCGAAAGGGAGTGCTTGAACATGAATTATGTGGTGTTTGAGTGTGGAAGGTTGTGTGCTGTTTTATTCGCTGTAGGCACGCGACTGTGGCGGGTCTTCAGTTGGTGGCCGTGTATTTTGAGTTCACTGCGTGGTTCGTTAGTTTGGCGGGTGTTCAGCTGGCGGATGGGTTGTTTGTTTGTTGTGTGGTAGCTGGCTGTGGGCGTTTGGTTGGCCCGGGTGCTGATGGTTTATTTGTGCGATGAGTGAATGTGATCGGTGTTCAGTTGGCGGGGGTGATTATATTTTGTTGTGTGGTATGTGATGGTGGGTACTCAGTTGGTGCGTGTGTTTCTGACTTGTTGTGCTGTAAGTGGCTGCTCGTTGACAGGTATGTTCATCATCTATTGTGTGGTGCTTGATTGTGGCCAATTGGAGAGTGTGAGTATGCTTTGTCGCGTGGTGTGTGATTCTGGCGGGTGATGAAGGGTTTGCGTGGTTTGTTGGTGTGTGATGCGTGAGTGTGATTATGATGTGTGTTTAGCTGCTTGGTCTGCTTCCCCTTTGCTACGCAATGTGCAAGTATGGGCAGGGTTCTTTTGGCGTGTGTGCGCATGTGATTTGTTGCGTGTTGTGTGACTCTGGCAGGTGTTCTGTAGGCAGTTGCGGTTATCATATGTCATATGTTTTGCCAAGTCACTGCGATGGGTAACATGTCTATGTGCATTTACGTGTGTTGCCTCCGAATACAAAACTGTTGCTCCCAAAACGTGTGTTGCCTCCGAACATACAACTGTTGCTCCCAAATATAACATTGTTTTGGACAAACAATATACTGATATTTACTTTGAGAAGGGACATTAAACAGCTATGGCTGCTAAAGATGTTGTAGGGTTTTGGGAATGTTTTTTTTTAACCCCGGGATATGTGCTGTACACAGCTCACCATAGTTGGAAACACCCACGGAATGATGCTGTGCGTGTCTTGGTTTGACGCAGAAGAGGGTTAAAATCATTCTATGTGCGATAACCAACATGATGCGACTTAGCAAATCATGACACGTTTAGGACATGGCTCACCTAATCACAGCTCAAAAGGCGCCTGCGCCTATATTTAAAAAAATACACGACCTACTTCCATGCAAACACGCTCCAGTTGGTAACCTTGCTGTGCACAAAACGGATAGACCACCACTTATGCCAAGAGATATTGCTTTGTGGCGGGCGAGCCTCCATGTGCAAACGCCAAAATACCGATGTGACTCTTTCTGCTGATATTCATGACTGGTATTGAAACCACCATTGTATAATTCACCCACTTGGGCAAGATTCAAGTCTCCTGGAAGCGCTTGTTGATGACAGGATGTCCGGACCACACATGTTGCTTATAGTGTTCCACAATATGCAAGCAAGGATGACGGTGCAAGCTTGCATGCTGGATGCTGGGGCGCGCTGTTAAGTGTATTGAGTGTATGATGTGTTTATGTGTGAGGCGTTTGGCGGGGTTCAATGCCCTTGAATACAACAGCTATTGTCAGCGCGTAGCCCTTTCGACAGTACTCCACCTGGGAAGTGCCTAAGCATACTGAAGCAGGGCATTTGCTTGTAAATTTGCTCCATTATTGGTGTCAACAGACACGTTCTAAATGACATCCACGCACAAAGCAAACGTTCGTCCACGATTGCAAGACTGCAGAAATCAGTAAAGAGCGCTTTGTGTTATTTGCGCTGCGACCTCAGTTTAATTTTGCTAGCATGTTGGTGCAGCCACCATATTTTGCAAAGGAAGCTAATCAACATGCAAAATAGTTTTCAATGACAAGTGGATATGGCCGGAAGAGTAGTCGTAACACAGTCCCCACCCAGCATACAAAGGGCAGATATGCACCACGAACAGCTTGTTAACAGGCATTACCTGGCACGCCAGCAGGCCTCATGGTAAAACTAATGCGAGGTTTCTATTCCGGATCCGCTGACCCCCCAAACCTGTTTTGCATTGAACACATGGCACAATCGGGATCCAGACATGATTTGATTGCTGTGCGTCCCAAACACAATTCTATGAACTTAGTGAAAACATTCTCCTCATTGATCGCATCTACTGCTTTGAGCACCAAAATCCTGTTGAAGGCTCTGAATGCACCACTCGCACAGCCCGGCAACGCAAAATATACCGTTTTGGGTCTGTTTGAAGTCTGTTTGGCCCGGTTCCTGGAACCAAGTTCTATGACCCTGCTATAGCGGGAACCAAGCTGGTTCCTGACATATAAGTTACCGGAAGCCCTGGGTTGTACTACAAAGTTGCGATTTTCGAGCTGGAGCTGCGGAAGTAAGTGTACTTCGCGTACTAGACTTGTACTACAAAGTTGCGATTTTCGAGCTGGAGCTGCGGAAGTGCACTTCGCGTACTAGACTTGTACTACAAAGTTGCGATTTTCGAGCTGGAGCTGCGGAAGTGTACTTCGCGTACTACTTCGCGTGCTAGACTTGTACTATTTTCGAGCTGGAGATGCGGAAGTGTACTTCGCGTACTAGACTTGTACTACAAAGTTGCGATTTTCGAGCTGGAGCTGCGGAAGTGTACTTCGCGTACTAGACTTGTACTACAAAGTTGCGATTTTCGAGCTGGAGCTGCGGAAGTGTACTTCGCGTACTAGACTTGTACTACAAAGTTGCGATTTTCGAGCTGGAGCTGCGGAAGTGTACTTCGCGTACTAGACTTGTACTACAAAGTTGCGATTTTCGAGCTGGAGATGCGGAAGTGTACTTCGCGTACTAGACTTGTACTACAAAGTTGCGATTTTCGAGCTGGAGCTGCGGAAGTGTACTTCGCGTACTAGACTTGCAATACAAAGTTGCGATTTTCGAGCTGGAGCTGCGGAAGTGTACTTCGCGTACTAGACTTGTACTACAAAGTTGCGATTTTCGAGCTGGAGATGCGGAAGTGTACTTCGCGTACTAGACTTGTACTACAAAGTTGCGATTTTCGAGCTGGAGATGCGGAAGTAAGTGTACTTCGCGTACTAGACTTGTACTACAAAGTTGCGATTTTCGAGCTGGAGCTGCGGAAGTGCACTTCGCGTACTAGACTTGTACTACAAAGTTGCGATTTATTTTCGAGCTGGAGCTGCGGAAGTGTACTTTGCGTACTAGACTTGTGCTACAAAGTTGCGATTTTCGAGCTGGAGATGCGGATGTGTACTTCGCGTACTAGACTTGCACTACACAGTTTCGATTTTCGAGCTGGAGATGCGGAAGTGTACTTCGCGTACTAGACTTGTACTACAAAGTTGCGATTTTCGAGCTGGAGCTGCGGAAGTGTACTTCGCGTACTAGACTTGTACTACAAAGTTGCGATTTTCGAGCTGGAGCTGCGGAAGTGTACTTCGCGTACTAGACTTGTACTACAAAGTTGCGATTTTCGTGCTGGAGCTGCGCAAGTGTACTTCGCGTACTAGACTTGTGCTACAAAGTTGCGATTTTCGAGCTGGAGATGCGGAAGTGTACTTCTCGTACTAGACTTGTACTACAAAGTTGCGATTTTCGAGCTGGAGATGCGGAAGTGTGCCTCGCGTTCCAGACTTGTACTACAAAGTTGCGATTTTCGAGCCGGATCTGCCAAAGTTCGAAAACACTGTAAAACGATAAGGTCTCCCCCAAAAACGATAGCGTTTAAAAAAGTACTAGGGCCAAGTAAAGTGTTTCGTCCGCTCCTCATATACATGCATATGTAACGAAGAGCTTAAACTGTAGCTGCTCAAGTGTATTTGGTTTCATGGGTAGTCATGGTGTTGGGTGCATGTTCTTCGCTAGCTTGCATCACATGTTGCCCTTTGTGACCGCGTAAGCCGTCATGCTGGCCCAGTGGGCAAGAAGAAGCCGATATAAGCCGATGGATGCGCGGCATGCCAAAACAAGTATGCGCATCTCATCACAGCATGATAACCAGCCCACACAAATGTGGTTTAGAATGCATTGACTTGCGCGCGCAAGAATCTCAATGCTCGCATGTGGCATTTTCTGAGCGTTTCTTTGTTGAACGCAGACCGGAGGCGGCATGCATGGCATTGGGCATTAGCACCAATCGACAAGCACTCACATACTTGGAGCATCAAAAAAATGTGTGGTCCACCCTTGGTTGGTGTTGCCTCTTTGTTTCTGCCAACTGACCTTGTTTGCCTCATTTGCCAAAACAAAGGCCATGCCACACTTGAGCTGGTTGATACCAAACTTGGTCAGCCTTGTGCACTTTGTGCAATGGCTTCCGACCCAAATCAGTTTGAAGAGCTCAGGATCGTTTCGCCATGTTGCAAGTATTTGTCAAATGATTTGCACTTCCACATTCCTCGATGCCAGGTGGCACGCAGCATGACGCATTTCGGCTACCCGGTGGGGCGAACTGGCCGAGGCTCGAGCTACTAATGAGTCTTCTGAGATCTTTATCCAGGTCACAAACGAAGCTCTCAAGCTGAGCACAAAGTGCTTCAGCACCCCTAGCCCCTTGTGCCCTAAGTATGAGAGCCTTCCCCAAAGGCCTGAAGTGTTGTGGGCTCCTTTGGTTGCACAGAGGTGGTGGTCGACGTTAAGGGGAAAATTCGCACGGTGCTGGGCACAACCCCCCGAATTGGTATCCTTCTATCACACCAAGGAGAACCCTGAAGCAAGACAAGAAAAGGTACCCTCCCACCAACTAACATGGAACCTGACAAAGGGGGCCTGGAAGATGACCTTCCTGGAAGATAATTTCCCTTTTTTTGGAGCAGGGACACGGGCATGTACTCATTTGCGGCTCTGGCACGTGCAGAGGCCTCCTGCAGGAGGTCCTCAGTGAGGACAGCTTCCAGGTGCCCGAAGAATATGACTTTGATTGAAGTGATGAGTCACGACTGTCATGACTTTTTGCTGGTTGGGTCAAAGCACTTGGGTTGTTTTACAGGCTTGGTTGTGTTTGGGTCAAAATCTACATGATCTTGGCAATTGTTTTTTTTGCTCTGGGCTCGCTTGCCAGTGAGCTTTGCGGGTCCAAGGGTTGATTCCGAGTGGGCTATTTGAAAACCGCCAGTTTGGAGTTCACCCTGTGAGATATAGCCATGGGTTGTATGTGTTAAGCCCGGTGAATTTCCCACAAAAGGAGAACCCCGTGCGAGATTCTCTACAATGTCAAAAACTGGAGCTTGTACGCACATGTTGCCTTTCGTACATCTGGATTCGAGAAGCGACTCCCGGAGCAGCAGGAAACCTGTGTCGGAATCCTCTTCCAACTTGGAACACAGAAGATCATGGAACATCAAACAGGAGACGAAGGCTTGAGATACCAAGAACAAGACGGCCAGTCAGGGAAGGAGAGACCAGAGCAAAGCGAAGCCTTGAGTCACAGCTATGGCGCTGGTGTTTTGGGCCCTCCTCGCCCACGCGGCCGCTTTCCGGCCACCCTGCGTTCCGCTGGACGTGGCAACGCCCTACCAAAGCACCTGGAGTTGCGCCTTGAATCAAGTCACTCCAAGTCGGACGGGGGAACCCAGGTGGTTGCTAGGATTTCAGTTGACACAGTGTTTTAAGAATGCAAAACTATGGGGTTTGGGGTTCCCATAGATGTGTTCTTACTCCCTGTCTCCGCTATCCTGCATGGATTTTGGGCAGGACACCCTTCGAGGCAGTGAATGGCGGGCAAGCCATCCACTGCAGGAAACTTCCAGCTTTTGTCGTCCCAAGCCGACATGCGGACGAGGCCACGACAATCTGACCGACGGCTCTCCTGCACATTGGACAGGCGGGGGCGGTGTTATTGGACAAACAGCTCTGCCTTGTGCAATGGACCCAGATACAAACATACAGCCTATACATACCCAGCACTGACACATTGTCTACGTGCTAAGCTTTTTTTGCAAAGGGAAAGAAGGCTGCGTTCTTCTTCAGTCACAGATGAAGGCCTCCAATTCATTCATTGCAACAAATTCATGCATTGCAACATTGTCAGTCGGGTTCCCTTTTGTTTCCCTTTACCAACCAACAGGGGGTCCATAGTTTCGAGAAGCTTCCAGATGCGATCCTGTTTTGATGGCTCAGGAGACGAGTTCGACTGGGTTGGGCTGGTGCGCGTGGACGGCCAAGTGTATCGCTGGCTTGGGCGAGCAGTTCTGGACCGAATTTGGGGCCAAGAAAAAGCCTCGAAATAAGACACACCCATTTCGAGCTGAAAGGCAATTTGCTTCGCGAATCCGACAGAGACTTGGCACCGATTTATTTGAGCCAGGCCTTAAAGGCCAAAGGTAGCTCCTGCAAGAGTCGTGTCTCATAGGGAACCGTTTTGGTTTCACTTAAGAATTGCCAAGACAGGGTACCGATAGAAAAAACAAACCCAAGAGGTGAGGAGTTCAATCGCAATATAGGTGTTTGTTCTGGCAAGTACCCGACGGCGTGCTGGACAAACGAAGCCACATTGAAGTTATCAAAATTCAACAGAGTGAAGCTGATTGCTCATCATTTTGGTCGTCTTCTCCGGGCTTGGCAGAAGCCAATCAGATCCAGGGCGTTGCATGACTTGTGGGCATTCGGATTGAAGGGGTCTACCTGAAGCAACAGCCAATGTTATTTCTGTTCTCCAATGTCTTTGTAGACAGCCACATGGTTGTTTTTCCACCTTGGCGAAGCACCCCAGTCGCTTTGGCCAATCCCAGGGCTTGGTGGGATTTCTTAGTTCGCCGGTCCTTTCACGCCACGGCCTGGGACCAGGAATTGTTGGACTCGCAACAGCTCGCTCGAAATTTGATTTTTTCCCGGCCCGAATCATGCGACACCGTGTTCTGTTTCCGACATCCCAAATGTTTGAAACATGAGAAGAGTTTGCAACATTCGAACCACGAGGTCCGAAGCATTGACGCTCGGAGCAAGTGACGCATTTAAGGAAAGTTCAAGCAGTTCGACGCATCTGAACAGTTTGAAGACTTGGAACTTGAGCAGTTTGCAACGTCCGAAGCATTCGAAATGTTTGAAGAGCCCGAACGTTTGATCCGTGTCAACCTCAACGTTTGGAACGATTGAAGATTCTCCTGGACCACGGAAGCTGCTATAAAGCATACCTTCCTTGTCAGCAGCCGAAACCCACGCAGCCCCAAAGGCGCAAAGCCTCGAACTTCTTTCCAACGCTATATGTTAGCGTGGTTTTTGCTTGAGCTGTCCAAATTGGGTGTCCCCTATTTTAGGCCAGATCACACCCCAAAATACTTGCTTTAGGGTCCGTCACCTGAAGAAACAAGAGTTCGGAGGGGCCTAAGGCTTCAGATGAAGGAGTGAAAGAAAGGGCCTGTGTCAATGACCCCAAAAAGGGTGGAACCAAGTGAAGCCTTGTGGTTTCCCTGTAAAACGTTCCCAAAATTTAGGGTCCCCTCGAAAATCATGGGCTTCAGTGTTTCAGGACCTGCCAGCAGCACAGCAGCTCAGTCGAGAGGTGCATCCAACCACCACTCGCTACATCTTCCAGGCGCGCAGGAGGTTTTGCGAGGACCTTCCAACTTGGCTGCTTGGTATCCTTCTGCCTGGATTCCTTATTCCAGGTTTTGGAAGTATTGTAGATTTTGCAGATCTAATTCACTGCGGGGAAGAGATCATTTGGATGATGGACAACGATTTTTCCCACTGACCCACGACAAGTTGTGTTTTGTGCTTGTGTAGAGGGCAGTAGTGAACATAGTGTGGGCGACATTGTTAGAAGAATTAGTGCCTGGTTTTCTTAAGGAGTTTGTTTAGCATAAAGTATAGTGCCGCAAAACATGCGTCATGCGGAACATTTTGACTTGAGGCATTGTGTCAGGATTGCGTGGCATTCCTGCTTGCTCGCAGCTCTGAAAGTGCATGAGTGCTGTTCGTTTCCCACAGGAAGGCTGTTGTTTGCTCTTGGCTGAGTTTAATGCTCAGCGCGAGAGCATTTTTTTGCATCCTTCAGGCAGTTCACGCGTTCAGGTGCCAGGCCTCGGTGTCGATTTGGCATCCTTTGGCATGTGCCAGGCGGGTGCGGCGCAGATGACCGTCGCCTTCATGACAGCATCATTTAACCACGATACTGAGCCTTGGCTGATCAGTCGGCGAGCACTCATGTGCTCCGGTCGGCGAGCACTCATGTACTCCTCACATTTGGCCTAGAATGCGTTTGAATCGACGCCCGCGTGCGTACCTCCCGCTCACCTTCTCTTGAGTGTTGCAAATCCACGCCAGCCCACACTTTTTGTTTGGGGACGCTCCTGGGGGCGAGCAACAGATAATGAAGAAATGAGCAATTGAAAGACTCGCCAGCAGATGCCGGGCAAATGCTTGTGCACGGTGCTTGTCACACAACCAAAAGTTCACAGTGCTTTCGCCAAGCGACACTCTACGCTTATTGCAGCTAGGGGCTTAGTCTACCGAGGTACATGTGATGCACTGACACCGTATTCAGAGTATTGTTTTCCTCAACGATAGAGCACAGGGAAGCAGCCGAAAAGGAAGACTACTTCAACTGCTTTCGTTTTTCACGAACAACATGGCACCTTCGGCGCTTGCCGCTTCCAGCGGGGCAGACGTGCGGTGATGCGTGCGCCAAACAGTCCTGATTGCTCTGGACGCGACGATGCCGCACTCTTCCTGTGCTTCGTCCGTGTGTGTGTTGTTTGAGAGAGCCCGTTTTAGCTTGGATGTAGGGGCATCATTCTGACGCGCGCACACACACACACATGTGCTTGCCGCAACAACATCAGCAACTTTGCTTGGCTTTCGCACCAGCGTGCTCCTCTCGCAACGTTTCTGGAAGCTCTCCTCCAGCAAACTACCAAGAGCTGCGGACAGAACACGGCCCAACATGCCGACAAGGCGGTCCTCAGGAATGCTTTTGCAATGCGCCTTCGACATGTCGTGCTTCCCCGTCCTGGGATATATTTTGGCTCTTTGACACCTTGAAACACAAAATGTGCCCGGGATGCGTCCAAGGAACGTCCGCGTTGGCCAAATGCGTTAAGCTGCATACGCCGTGAGGATTCGAAACAAGAAGCAGGACAGATTTGATGGAACTGCAGGCTACGAGATTTGTCTCATTGCCGAACCAAACTCCAGAGATATGGGTGAACAAATTGTCCTTTTGGTTTCCCAATACAACCGGCCAAAAAGGGCACCAACTCCAAAACAAGGACAGACCCAGGTTACACAGAGAGAGAGAGGATGAGAGAGAGAGATTGAGAGAGAGCAGCCTCGAGGCATTGCTTGAAGCAACCAGCCCCGTCACAACCATGAGCTTTTCGGTCACTGGCACGGATGACGTCGAGATTTACTTCGAGACTTGTCTTGCACGGGGCAATAGGGTGGGGGCAATACAATAGTGGACCCTTTCCATGTGAGTGAAACGTGTCCCAGCCCGTTCTAGTTGTTCACTTTCGCTCCTGGACTGACAGTTTGGGAAGGCCATTTGGGGGTGTCTTTTTGTGTGGGTACCTTGTCAGGCCATGGCCAGCGAAAAGTGCTGTGACTTTTGTTGGACCTGTCCCAGGACCTGTCCGCTGCGACTGCCACACAGAAGGACTCACAAGAGGCAAGGCCGTAGAGCTTTTCGGTGAGAGAAGATGAGAGAAGCCCGTGCGGGTGTGTCTTTGTTTGAGGGCAACCGTGTTTGGTGGCTAAGGGAAACCAAAAGAATACCCGCCATTTTGAGGTCCCCTAAAACAAACACACCCATGTATGCACTGGGAGGATTTTAGGAACATGGTCTTCCAGGACCCCTGGATTTGTCACTTGCCGGCCGCGGGCCGCGGCCGCATCGAGTCGACGCAAGGTCACCTGGCAGCGCAATCTGACCGAGCAGCTCCAGGCGAAAGCTGCAAGAGACCGGCACGGGTTACCAAAATCTGAGGGGTTTTGTATTACACCCTGGGAATACGTATTCCCACTGGGTATTGACTTTTAGGCACATTTCCGGATATAAAACCGTGTTATTTTGAACCATGGGTCATTTCCCAAGGGAATCCCAGGGTGTAATACAAAACACCCTCAGACAAAAGATGCTTTCCAATGGCCATGTCCTGTTACCCCTGGCGCATAGATGTATTTCTGGGACAGAGCTATGGGCTGCTTCGTCGTAAGATCGTAAGGGGTGCAAGGCTTTATTTGTTGAATGGGTTCTAATAAACGGGTTCTGTCAGTCCTCGTCTTGTTTGACGATTGAATACATGACCGTGTAGTACAGTAAAGATAGTAAAGGAGCTCTGCCTGAGCCAGAGCTTTCCTGAGGCTTTCTTCAGCCAAACAGGAAGGCAGAGATTCAAAGCCTTCTTGCAGTCTCATATTTTCAAATGTATCCTCGTAAATATGCAGATATCCCTAACTATTCCGAGCTGACTGGTTTTGATTTGTTTGCTTCCAGGGCCCAAAATGGAGGGCACAGTTGAAGTATTATTCCCTTTGAAGGAACAAGTAGCGATGGTTGACTTCGATATCGCGAGGGGCATTTTGTTCCACGAGTATCTGTCAAATTTGGGAAGCCCCAACATTGAAAGCCCAAAAGTTGACCGGTTTTCTGTAACCAGCCCCAAAAAGGTTTCACACCAATACCCACAATGGAGTCAATCCAGCCAGGTCATGCGTGTGGGAACCACGTCACAGAAAGTGTGTGGTCAAACGTCGGACCGAATCGCGCCGAGCTCAGATCGGATGATTGCATCGAATTTGTAAGGTGAGAGTTGGGTCTCCAAAACTTAGTTATGTATTGAGGGCAGGGTGGGTAGCCTGTGTCCCTTGTTTCCAGTCGGGTCTGCTCTTCCGGCCGTTATGACCATTTTTCTTTTCCATGAGAATTCCTTAGGGATTGCCAAGAGGGCAGGCAAAACATGAAGAATCTGAGCACAGCACTACTTTCTGTATACATGAGATGCGGGTCAAGCTTACTTGCGTGTTTTTGGGCGGCTACTCTCTATGATACCCAGGGATTCCCTCTTCAAAATCCTAAAGTGTTTGTCGGAATGACCCATGTTGGCATCACAAAAGGGACTCGAGCAGCATGAAACACAAAGGAAAGCACAAGTCGACAGCGATGTCCATTTCCATCCTTGGAAACAGAGCCACGCCGAGAGGGTGAACGCCCAAAACGGTGCCGTTCTTTTCGGTGTCCCATTCAAGGCAAAAAGGGACCCTCCAATAGCACCTCGTTGACTAGAATGGTATCTCGCGGTGTGTGATGTGAGTGTGTGTGTGTGTGTTTTGTTGATAGGCCAAAGGCCCAATGGCCTTAGGGAAGGCACACCAGGTCCTTTTTGAACACCCAAAGGGTGGACCACCTCTTAGTTGGTCTTTGAAACGGACAGGACACCCGCAGACCGATTCCACAGCAAAAGTCTAGTGACTGTCCTGTCATCTGTCATCTGCGATGTGTCCCATGCAATCTGGTGCACATAGGCATCCTTTTTAGTCTGTGCTTTCATACTAATACAGGGCACTGTCTTTTCAAGGCTGCCTTGACTTTAATAGAAGCATGGTACAGTAGTTACGGTTTTGTAGAGGTCACCAGTGACCAGTGGTGCCAAAAAAACCGCTTGGCATCCAGGATGTTTGCCTCCTTGTGCTCGCCACTAAGGACTGGGGCTTTCGATATTTGGCCATTCCCCTCGGCAATCCGAGTGCCATGGTGTCTGCACAAGAAGCACGCGCCGCCTTTGTGAACGGGACCTACAGCCGGCTACAGGCAACGAAGGGTGCTGGCTTGGCCTCGCTTGGGTCATGTCTAGGGCCCCTACTAAAATAGACTACACAAAAAAGGGCACCCTTATTCTAACCTCTGTACTGGAGGACCTAGATGTGATTGGTTGGATCTTTTGAGGCTTTCAGTGAATTATGCGCCCTTTTGCTAGCAACCCACATTCCAGATAGGTCAACTTGGCAGAAAGAACAATAGAGCACTGCCTTCCCATTGTCCAACCAAAAAGTATTCTTAATTGTCGAGAACCGCTCAAAGAAGCGGTTGGATCCCGAAAGCTGCTACACAAGTATGTTCGGTCTGTTTGGGCGACAGACTCAGACGCGTTCTAACAAGGTCCTGATCACCCCAGGATGGTTTCTTTTTTCGTTCCGATTCCGGAACGAATTTGGGTGTTTTGTAGGGGACCCCCTCCTTTCCAAGGCCTGTGCTTTTCAATGAAATGTGTGTTGTTCATGAAAACAAACTCTTTTTTTGTGGCGCAGAGCATGTCAGTGTTCCATTGTGTATTCTATGAACATAAGGTGTAAGCCTTTCTTGGGTTGACCATCAGAGATCTACTTCTCAGAAATTGGGTTGGTGAATCATGGAGTGTGCAAGTAGGATATCTCTTACCTAATTTGCATGGGAGCTAGAGGACCCATCCCTTATGATGTAGAAAGCAATGCTGCCCACACTTGCAGGTCTGCCTCCTCACATGTCCTGATCCACTGGCCATAGAACCAGGAATCTGTAGTTGATTCAGTTTGTCATGTGGGGAGAACTGGGCTACTAGCCATCCATGGCCAGCGGAAAAAATCAATCCCCGAGCTCGGATAGCAACTTGGCTGCCTATGGCAAATGCATTTCATTCACAAGGAAGAAAGAGAAGTATCCTCATGACCACAACTTGCACGCGCCTTCATCCCACCAACCCCTTGTGAGCTACAGTTATGCAAAGTGGACATCCAAGATGCTGCTTCCAGGCAAAACGGATCTGACAAGGCACCCCGCTGCATTTTATACTTGCTTCTTGGTGCTACTTGCTGCGTTGTACCCAAGGGAAAAATCAATTGCACATGGGATAATATTCTCTCACCTGCAAAATCATGTTTTGCGCGCCACTGGTGGTTTGCGTGGGAGCTGTCCTCCAAGAAACTGGTAGCGCCCAACGGTCAGCCGCCCACTTGCAGTTGGCCTGCCTCACCCCTCACATGTCCTGATATCTGTTGCGCATATGAAGTACTAGCGTGTGGTACGTTCACTTAAGTAGCTGGCATGGGAGGGGGTAAGAGAATGACTTATTCTACTTGCACCCTCCACAGGTCATCAAACAATTTCTGGTAAGCAGATCTCTAACGGCCAACCCAAACAAAGAACTCAACCCGTTTTCGAAAAGCAAGAAGCAATGGAACAACGTTTGGTTGATGAATAACACAGATTTCACTCCCTCCATTTCTGACGCGTGCTAAACTCTCCATGTAAATCACACCAAGCTAGCAGCCTGACGAATCTCCTGCACATTGGCTTAACCTGTGACAGATGTCTCAATGCCACTTACGCAAACATGTTCTACCCTGTTCTACCCGATCGAATCACCATAGAGATGCACAAGGCAAGCCATGAGAGTACTACACGCAAGTCGGCCCACAGGCAACATGCATAGAATGTGATTTTCTGCAACCACGGCCCTGGTGCAACCAAATCCATTGTTGCCACATATGCTGGCTCATGAAATGTGAAAGCAATGCTGCAGCAGAGGTTTGTCATATGGCGCTACTCACGCAAATGCTCGAATGCCAACAAAGCGCACGGGCTGTTAAGATGCATATCCCAATGCACAAATATAGTGACCCAATATAGACGTTCAGGTCAAAGCAACTGAATCAGATGAATCTTCAAGGAAGTTGTGTAAGCAACAAGACATCCTAGAACTTGGCAAATAGGTGCCAAAGATCCAAAGACGGGGAGCAAAAACCAAAGGCGACCCAAATCCTGGACAGTCTACGGGGTCCCAGTGAGCATAGGCTGAGTTTGGGGGCTTCCCGGGGGGTGGGGGGAAGATTGCAAAAAACATGAGAAGCATCATTCTGGTTTGTTCCCGCCCTCCTCCCCCAGCTCTCCTTCTACATGTCAAGACTAGAAAGTGTATTGCATATTCTCCTCTTCTTACAGGAGCCCACAATGCGCAACCGTTTTGTACATATATTTTTTTGGAGAAGCGTTGCGGAGGCCAAAGGTTTGCTTTTGAAACGAGATGTCTGCAACAACACGCAAATTATCAATGCGAACAACGCAGGCCTCCACAACATCCTTTTCTGCCATTCCGCTGATAAAAGACAACCCCGATTGTGATCGAACCCTTCACGGGTCCGCCTGACAGGACGAGCAGCCACCGAGAAAGGCCAATGATCGTCCGCTGGCCCTCTCTGTTTCGCTGCGCGCTCAAGCGCGAGTCCACTTGATGTTGGACGAGGCCGGTTTCTCAAAGGGAGCCTATGCTTGGTTTCCTTTTGTTTGAAGCCCAGCTTCATTTGGATGGTGAGAAATTCGAAATTCCCTTCGCCTGCAATGCATCCGTTAAATAGGTTGCTTTCAAAGGCACACGGAGGACCGATGCAGACCTCAGGGGGCGTGGCCCGGATAGGTTTACGGCTGGTAGGGATGATCGTCAACTTGGGGGTTTGACACATGAGCATGGCCGTGAGTGAGCCTCAGAATTTTCAAGGACCACTTTAGTCAAGGTGTCTTATATCCGGTTTCCTTTTGGTTTTCCCTTCAACCACCCCCAATAACGACATGTGACACGTGTGGTCACAAACTCATTTCATTGACAAGCCCTGAAATGGGTCCAGGTGCCCTTAAAACAATGATAAACCCCAGTTCCTAGGGCGTCTTTCCATCAGCTAATCCGGATTCAACCCATGACCATTGCCAAATCCCCTAAAATGGTGGTTTTACTTGTTGTTTCCCTTTCAAGCCAAAAGACATACCCAGAAGCAGTTTCGACAGGTGGTCTCCCAACGCTTCTTCGGCACAGACCTGCGCCCGCTTTGGCAAGGGCGCTTCACCGCGGAGACTTTGCTCAACGATGTGGAAGAAGGCTCACTGCAGAGGATGCAACGGGCGGAGGCGCGGGCGGGATCAAGCCTCGAAACTTGCTGGGGGGCCAAAAGGGCCCAGTCTCGGAATCGAAGTCCGACTTTTTGTCTGGCAGCTTGCAACTTAATTTCATGACTCGTGCATCAAAATAGGGGGATCCAAACGTGAAGAAGCCAACGGGAAACCCATTTTGTGTTGTTATGATTCCTATTTCAAGACAACCCCATTTGGGCGTTTGGGTGTGTCTTTTCTATTGAACTCCGTCCCTTCCCCCCGTTAAATCAAACCAAGCTCAGGTATATCCCCAACAGCATGCGGCGCTCTGGAAGCTTGCGAACCCGTGCCGAAGAACCCTCACAGAACCCTGCTGAACCTTCCAACAGACTGCGGAACATTTGCGGACCCTGCGGAACCTTGCCTCAAAGCTGCCCCAGACCACCGCAGAGCCAATCTGGGCTGAGACCCTACAGCTTTCAGCTGTTCTGGAAAAAAGCGAGGAAGGTTTGTAAGGGAGATTCCCAACCATAAATGGGGGGTTTTCCGCCTTTTTAGTTTTTTGCCATGTTCCACCATGTTAACACCAGGTCTTGACTCAAACCTCAGGCCTTCGACCATTTTCTTCTCGACCAGCTGCAGCGCGTGGGGGGCCAGCGCTACGGGGAGATCGGGGCCTTGGTCTACCGCCAGGCCGGTCGTCCAAACGAACTCCGAGTCGCGCGCCGTACGGCGTGTGGCGATTCCTTTTGAAGCGCCCTGAAAAGCCAAAGGCGGGGAAGCCAAAGCAGCACGGACTTTTGTTCAAGTAAATCAACAAACAAATAAATAAATAAGTAAATAAGGAACCCCAATTTGAAGAGTGGTTGGTGAACATTTTCCCAAAATGAAGCCCAAGGGTCCCTTGAGTTTCATGCCTATATTTGCATGGGGCTCAAGAACCCGATTTGTTTCGTAAGAATCCAAGCGGGCCACCAGTTGTTGGGATCCCCCTCATCCGTGTTTGGTTTCTATGGAGGCACTCAGACTCTCAGAAGTGGCAACCAAGGTTGCACGCCAGCCAGCATTCAACTTTCAATAATTATAATAAACATTTGGTTATGTTACTGTACTGGTTGGAATATAGCTGGCATGTACAATGGGTGGCCGGTCTGTATAAGCAACACTTGGGTTCCCACCCATGCTGAGCCATAGGGTAAAGGCCGCAAGACCTTTGCGAGAGTTGAGAGCAGCGACACGGACCAGGAATCATAAATTGAAGCCGACCTACACCCTAAGACTACACTTTTTTCCTGACTCAGCTAATTTAGTCCGAATCGCCACTGGCAAGCGTTTCAAAAGTCTCAACTGCTTATTAGTGGCGCATTCGCGACACAGCTGTGACCCAGCTTATTGCTCTACGCCGATAGCCATGTCAACAAGGACTTGGTTGCCTTCTTTTTGAGATGCGCATGGTTTTGTGCTGGACTGGTGCTGTTCCCTGGCTACTGTCACTGAAAGGGGACAAACATGCTCAATTCCTCGGCCTTCAGCTTGTGATGAAGCTGATACTCACACGCGTTTACACTCCTAATACGCCAAACTCACAGAGAGCCAGCAAGCGATTGCGCTTCCTTTGCAAGTAGCCTTCCAAATGTTTGGATTGTGCTGGAATTACCTGATTTCAACAACACCCTGCATTTCCACGCTCTCCGTTGGGGAATTTTGAGATACACCCAGCTCCCGTGATAGTTTTGAGTTATTTTGCAGTGCTTCAACAGAGTTGTTTGTCCAACACAAAACAATCACGGTGAAGGTTGCAGGCCACTGCCCTATCTACGGCGTGACTTGATGGGAACGCTGACTCCCATGGATCAGAACTTGATGTTAGAGTACTTCGGAAATGCACCATACCTCGGTGATCCTGCGGTCCCCGCATTGGCTGCTTGTTTAACCGCACAGGATACCTGACCCCACACCCTGCAAGCCTGGCGTTCACGGCTGTTTGCATGCTAATAAGCCACGACAAACAGAGCGCTTGTAACACGGCAACAGTTTTGTGGTGTCTCAGGCTGCAACTCAACGTGTCTCAGTTTAAATTGTTTTGCTGGGAGACCTGGGAACAAGCACCTTCAAGAGCTGATTCGCAGCTTTCCTTGACCAAGCCTTAAGCTCAGGTGAAATGGCCATGGGTTGTCAGCAAATGAGCGAGTGAAGCTGCGTGCCAGGTGATGGGAGCAACAAGCACCTCCTTCAACGACAAGACAG